GGCACCCGGCCGCCCCGCGCGCCCTGGCCGCGCCTGCTCGGCCGCCTGCTCGGAGGAGGAGGACGAGGAGGACGAGGAGGACGAGGATGAGGCGGAGGACAGTGTGGGTCCCCCGGGAGGCCGGGGCTCGGGCTCCGCTGCACCGCTGGACGCCTCGTTGGTGTATGACGCGGTCAAGTACACGCTGGTGGTGGATGAGCACACGCAGCTAGAGCTGGTGAGCCTGCGACGGTGTGCCGGCCTGGGTGAGGACAGCGAGGACAGCAGCGGGGAGGCCAGCGAGGAGGAGGCCGGTGCCGGAATGCTAGGCAGCGAGCAGGGCCCAGCAGATGACTCTCCCGACAGCCCTGACCTCACCTTCTCCAAGAAGTTTCTCAATGTGTTTGTCAACAGCACCTCTCGATCCTCCAGTGAGTGGGAGGTGGGGACAAAAATGTCCTGGGTCCCACATGGCACTCAGAGTATGTGGCATAGATGGGCCTTGGCCTCCTCTGACCTCTTTTGGGCAGCGAATGGGGCCATCTGCTGTGCTCCTGCCCCTAGTGGACCATACCCCACAACAGCTTGTTGGGAGGGGAGAACTTGGCTGTAGCCCCAGGCCAGGCCTTCGAGTATTTTCGTGCCCTTGCCCACCCTCTCCACCCGAAGCTGAGTCCCTCCCTCTCCCCATCTCTGTCTCTCAGGCACAGAATCCTTTGGCCTTTTTTCCTGTTTGGTGAACGGGGAGGAGAGGGAGCAGACCCACCGGGCTGTCTTCAGGTATACTGCCCCATGCCCTGGGAGACCCCAGTGTCCATCCACAGACATTGCAGGACACTGCCACAGGACCCAGCCAAGATGGCTCTTGACCTCTTGCTTGATCTTAGGTTCATCCCTCGACATCCAGATGAGCTGGAGCTAGACGTGGATGACCCAGTGCTGGTAGAAGCTGAGGAGGATGACTTCTGGTTCCGAGGCTTCAACATGCGCACCGGGGAGCGTGGAGTGTTCCCAGCCTTCTACGCCCACGCAGTGCCTGGCCCTGCCAAGGATCTGCTAGGTGAGGCCCTGTCCCCGAAGGGAGCTTGTCACTCCAGATGCTTCCTCTACACCCCCCTGACCTGGACCCGTGTGACCCCCAGGGAGCAAGCGGAGCCCCTGCTGGGTAGAGCGGTTTGATGTGCAGTTCCTTGGCTCTGTGGAGGTGCCCTGCCACCAGGGCAATGGCATCCTGTGTGCGGCCATGCAGAAGGTCAGTGTGGAGGTGGTGTGGGCATAGGCTGAAGGCTGGTACAGCTCTTGGTAGCTCCAAAGCTGCTGCCCTCCTCTCGCGATAAGTTCACTGCCCTGATGAGAGGTCTAAGCGGACAGACTTGAGACAGGGTGAAGCTGCGCCCCTGTCACCTCCATGCTCTGGGCCAGTCTTGTGGGGACTTCACCTTTCTGCCAGCCCCTCTTCCCCTTCACCCTTCTTCTCTTGTCTGAAAATTGAGACCAGCTCTCACAGTCCCTTCCCTGGGAGCCATTTGCTCACTCATCTGTTCACATGGCACGTTCGTGACGCCTGCCCATTTGCCAGTCCTGGGGCTGACGGGGCCAGCAGGAAGCAGGAAGAACCAGCCCATGCGGTTCCGGGGACTAGGCATTGAGGAGCCTAGCGGGGCGGGTGCGTTCCTGTCACCTGAGCCGGAGGAGCAGCCTGGTGGAGGAACAGAAGGGGACAGACCGCTGGGTGTAGGGTGAAGCCCCACTGGCCAAGGCCACGTCTCCTCTTCCAGCATCGTGCCTTACAGTCTGCGCTGCCAAGTCGTTAGGCTCTGCAAAGACCAGGCATAGCTCCCCAGTGGGTGTGAGAGGCCCTTGTAGGCCCCCAAGAACCTCTTTCTCCCCCAACTTCTTTCTCAGATTGCCACTGCCCGGAAGCTGACTGTCCACCTGCGCCCTCCTGCCTCCTGTGACCTTGAGATCTCTCTGCGGGGTGTCAAGCTGAGTCTGAGTGGAGGAGGGCCTGAGGTGGGGGTGTGGGGTCCAGGGGCCTGGGAGAGGCTGAGGTGTGGAATAGGGTACGAGGGTGGCCCAGAGTGTCCCTGGCTTCCTCTGTCCAACGTGGCTGTCTCTGCCCATCTCTGCTCCAGTTCCAGCGCTGCAGCCACTTCTTCCAGATGAAGAACATCTCCTTCTGCGGCTGTCACCCCCGCAATAGCTGGTGAGAGCCTACCCTTCCCCAGGGTCCCCACAAGCCTCTAGGGCCTGCTGTGCTCTAGGTCCCCTCTACAGTGAGAGGCCCGCAGTGAGGTTCCTGTTCAGACCTAGGCTCCTGGACAGACAGGGCGGGGACACTGATGCACAGACACACAGATGCAGAAGTGCTGGCAGCTTCAGTGGGCAGTCTGGAGGACATCTGTGTGGTCACTGGGGGGCTGACCTGTGGAGGAGGTGAGTCCTCTGGGAACTCAAGAAGGTAGAGCTCAGGAGATGGACCAGAGATAGTTGGGGAAGTAGATCATCCTGTCTAGGGCCAGCTGGACTAAGGCTGTGGAGATGTACTGGTGAGGACCCCAGGTTCTGTGGGAGCACCTAGGCTGCTGAGGAGCAATCCAGTGTCAGCGGAGATCTCAGCCCTTTTGACCACATGGGGATCTTATGGTGTATCCCATGAGTGATGGAGCCACAGCAGGTCCTTGTGGGAGGGTGGCCCAGGTAGGCTGACCAGCTGGCTCTGGCTGCTGTGAAGAATGGCTTGATCAGGTGCACATGAGGAGACAGGTGGCTGCAGAGGTGGCCTGGAGGGATTGAGGGTGCCAGTCACCTGGGTAATGGACAGACAGTGACCCATGAAGAGGAAGGAGATGCAGGGAGCAGTTAGACACAGTGAGGCTGGAATGGCCACTGGTCATATGCATGTGGAGTTGAGGAGGGAGACCTGGAAGCAGACAAAATGGACAGGGAGAAGAGGAGAGAAAGGGAGGAAGAGCTGGTGAGGGGGGGGCAGGGGAGGGTGTGTGTGTGTTTGCTCGTGTGTGTGCAGCTTCCTCCCAAGCTGCAGACCCCTACCCAGGAGGTCCGCGTATTCTAGATGAAGGAGAGAGGAGGCAGAATGAAACAGCACCAAGCACAGGCTCATGGGGCGGGAAAGAGCTGGAGAAAGAAGTCCTCACAGCCAGGGACGCAGGAGACAGGGTGCTGCTGGGCTGGGGTTGAGACAGATATGAGGGTGTTGGGGTCAACTGGAGTCTGTGAAGAGAACAGGAGAGCTGTTTGCTGGCCTCTGCTGAGGAGGAAGGTATTTTTCTGGGACCTGCTGTCCACATGCCCCTCAGAGGCATGAGCGTGGGGCTCAGACTAAACCCAGGTCACCCTGGGGCCACTGCCAGAAGATGAAAAACAGCCACCTGTTTCTCTTCAGAGGAAACATACCCCAGGCTCAGACCTCCAGGTTGGACTGCCCAGCTGCAATTCTAGGAGAGAAAAAGATGGCCATGCAGTCAGATGTGGGATGGGATGGGCAAGCCGAAAAGTGATGCTCCCACAGACCTTCCTGATATCTGTGGCTTCAGATCCTGGCCCAATCCTCCTCCATGAGGAGCACTAAAAAAGCAGATAGTGTTTAATTTGCTCCATTGTGAAGTTGGCGGTAGATCAGGAACGTGCTCGGCACCCTGGGTTTTGATGAAGCAGGAATATGCAGTGTTAAGATCATAGAATGCCCTGTGGGCTGTCGCAGGCTGGCTGTGTGTCTTTGGTCAAGAGATTGACCTTTCCTGTGCTTAGCTGTCTGTCAGGACACAGAGAGGCTGATGTGAGTTGATACGAGGAAGCACCTGGGATGGCCCCTTCTTAGTAGTAAGCAGCATCAGGGTCAGCAGTTGTTATAATTATTTGAGACTGGTCTTGTGATTTATTTCTGGGCATCAGACCACAGTGTCCTCGCAGTGATACTATTGTGTGCTTCATGTCTGGTGGGGCCACAATACTGCAAAGCCCTGAGAAGGTAGATCAGATTGGCCACAGTTTCAGGTGGGGTTTCGCCTCCTGCATGCCAGAACTGGCCACCCCTTCTGCTGGACACAGTAGACGTTAATGTCTGGGAGAAGAGGATGGGCGGATTTGGAGAGGCAAGGTGACTAGTGCTGCTGAGGTGGGAATGAGGAGTGGAGAGACAAATGTTTGCAGGCTTAGAGGAGCGAGGCCAGGCTGCAGAGGAGGCCTGGGCCAGGCCGAGCCAGCAGTTTATCACGGGACAGCATGGGGGTCCCCTGGTTGCCCAGGAATTAGAGCACTGGCTCCTCCTGGGTGCCTGGTGCTGTGCCTGAACTGGGACCCAAGGAAAGCACCTTCAGATCTCCTCCCCAAGCCCCTTGCCTCCAAATCTTTTAGGGGGTCAGTGCTCTGATGCCCCTCAACCTGCCTTCCCCACAGCTACTTTGGCTTCATTACCAAACACCCCCTGCTGAGCCGCTTCGCCTGCCACGTCTTTGTGTCTCAGGAGTCCATGAGGCCAGTGGCGCAGAGTGTCGGGTGAGTGACGCCTGTGGAGATGGGGAGGGGACTGAGCGGAGCGTGTGGGGTCTCGAAGGGCACAGTGGTGTGCACAAGGTCGCTGGACTAGTGGGCAGGGAGTGGATCGGGACTGACCAGCACTTCTCTCGCAGCCGTGCCTTCCTGGAGTACTACCAGGAGCACCTGGCGTACGCCTGCCCCACAGAGGACATCTACCTGGAGTAGCCACCTGCACCTCAGCTCCCACCTCACCACTCCAGGGCAGCTGCAGCTGGGGTGTCTTCAGGCCGCCATGGCTTTGGCAAGGACTGGACTGGGGGATGTGGGGCCCCACATCTGTGGGGGTCTCCAGGCTGAGAAATCTCGTCCTCAATCCCCAGGGCATGGCTGTGGGGGCTGCAGAGGGTGGAGCCCCTGGTGCCACCCACTTCTCCTCAATGCATCCTTTCTGTTGTCCTCTGTCCTGACCTTCAACTTCCCCTTTCCTCCGTCTTTGCCCTTTTCTGTGCCTGCAGACCTCACCCTTTGCTCTCTATTTTGGGGTCAGAACTTGGGGGGTGTGGAGGAAGGTGAGGCTTGAGGTGACCCATGATACAAGCTCCCCAGTGACCCACTTCTGCCCTTCCCCTGTAATTTATAAAGGAATTTTAATTTTTATAGTGAATCTCAAGGGATCATCCCATCCTTGACCACAGGGACAGAGAGGGACCCATTCTACAGGGAGCTGGGGGAAGTAGGGGGCATTTCCTGAGGGAGGCTTGGGGTGATTAGTAGTGTTTCTGGATGCCCACTGAAGCCCCCATGCTGCTAGGAGGAGGGGGCCCTGCTGGGCACCACCCCACATCATCTGCTTTGCCGCTAGCACCCCCGCAGTCCAGGAAAATCTGCCCATGTGGGCACGCTGTGTACATGGGCCCTGCCCGTGGCCTCAATAAACTCTGCTTGGTGTGAGCTTGGCTGTTTCTATGGGGTACCACCTGTGACAGGAGAGATGGAGACCCCAAGGCAATGGCTGTGGGGATGCAGAGAGCCCTTCAGAATCTCCTGAAGTCGAGCTTCACTGGAAGGGTGCGTGAGGCCTCCTCAGGTCTAGAGGCCCAGCAGAGGTCCCCACTTACACTTGATTGGTATGTAGAAAGCTGAGGCCAGAGCGAAGGCACTGGCCACAGCACCAAGTCCTTCCCATGTGATGGTTGGGTTGAAAAACAATATACAGTATTTACATCTTTGTTTATTTGTTTGTTTTTGTCTTTTTGAGACAGGGTCTCTATGCAATTCAGGCTGGCCTTGAGCTCATTTTTTAGTCCAGGCTGGTCTCAAACTTGCAACGATCCTTCTGCCTCAGCCTCCTGAGTGCTGGGATTACAGGCATGTGCCACCATGCCCGGCAGTATTTAGGTCTTAAAACTGATATTTTGAAAGTTGTGCACAAAAAGATAAAAGCAAATATGTGACTTTTTCCCTGTGCCTATAGATGACTGTGGATGCCCTCTCCCAGCTCTCTCCTGGAACATCAGTGATCCCCATATCTGAGCAGAAGTCAGCATGGCCCAGGTGCCCAGGGGTGGGCCTGTGTCCCTTGCCTGACCAGGGGTGACAGGACAACAGAGGAAGGTTGGGAATGAAAGAGTGAGCAGGATGGGAATACTGACAATTTTCTACACAAAAAATTAAGAAATAGTGTCTAGAAATCATACATTTCTTCTCAAATGTTTTGGTGAGCCAACAAACAGATTTTAGGATGCAACAGCCCAGGTTGGTCCAAGTGAGTACACTGATGCGGCGGGACAGACCAGGAACACACAGACTTGCACACAATAGATCTGCAGCTTATTCCCCATGCAAAAGCATCCCGTGTGTCCAAGAGGACACGTCTCTACACTTTTGCTGCTCGTACAATGTACAGAAGCAGACAACCCTTGGGGTGCTTAGAATCAGGCCTAGTACCAACCCTCAGGCTGGACCAGCTGCACATGGACACTGTCCCCTATGCTGTCTGCCCTGGTCATATAGGACTTCTCTGTGCCTGGCTGCCCGGTGTCCTCCCTGGGGCCCAGCCTGTTCTAGCATGTTCATGTGGGCAACCTTTCCTGCTGCCCTTGGGGCAGTGCTGGATGTGCTTGGTGCCCTTCCCAGCTGCTGCCACCACCATGGTCCCTCGGCAGCTCTTGAATCTCCTGGAGCTTGGCTCCTTGCAGGTTCTCCCCAGGATGTGTCCTGGGTCTCCTCACTGCCTGCATCCATCCTGTGGACTTGATCATGTGGGCAGTGTCCACGCTGTGTATTAACTTCCACTCCAGCTGACTGTTGAGATTACACCTTCAACTGGGCAAGGGGCTAGTGCTCACCCCTACGGACACTGCAGTGGCCCAGGGGATGCCGCAGTCACCTTGACTTTTCCCCACCTACTCTATTTTCCTTGTCTACATTTCACATTTTTTCCCAGTCACCTGACCTGCAGACCTGGGGCTACCTCGGCCTCCTCCTATCACTCTTACCCCCACACTGTCATCCTGAAGTCTGTCCCTTGCCCCATTCCCCATCCCTTTCTAGATCCAACCACCTCAAGTTTCCTCCTGGATCTTTATGCAACAAATAGCCTTCTTGAGGCTCCCGGCCTCCACCAGCAAACTCTCCTGCACCCGTGCCTGCCTCTTACCCTCTGCAGCTGCACTCTGTCCAACCTCAGCCTGGCCCATCCCAGCCCCACATCTCTGCCCACTTCTCCCTGAGTTTTTCTTGCTGACATTCCCTAAATGCTGCTGGGTAACCTATTTTGCTGGGTGTTGGGGGCCCAGAGCTGTCATAGCTGTCTGTGCCCCTGCGTTGTGATCCTGGCCTAGGCAGGTTTCAGAGTTTTGTGTGATGCTTCCAACTCCACTGCTCTGGCTTTTAGAAATGTAGCTGAACGACAGCATCCTAAACACAAAGCTTTCTACACAGAAGTGTTCATTGTATTCTTGTTCAAAATAACGAAAGGGTTGGACTTGGAGTTCAGTGGTAGAGCATGTACCTAGCAGGTTTACTTTCCAGCCCCACAAAAAAGCAGTAAAAATAATGAACGCATAAAGGTATCTAAATATTGACCAATAAGGTTCAATAAATTAAATATGTTTACCTAGTAGAAATATTGGGTAAACGAGTTTGGGGCACAGGCTTATCATGCCAGCACTGTGGGAGGCTGAGGTAGAAGGATTGTAAATCCAAGGCCAGCCTGGGCAACTTAGTGAGACCTTACCTCAGAATAAAATACAAAGGGCTGGGGATGTAGCTCAAGAGTAGAGCACTTGCCTAATGATCCTCAGGACAGCACAAAAATAAAGAAAATATAACATGCAGAATCACACACCGCACGCTAGTGACAGTACTGAAAACTACTGAAACATGAAAAGCATCAAGAGTTGCAACTACTGGCCCTTCACTTGGCCTGTGCAGTGTCTGACAGGTGCTCACTAGCTTTTGCTACCAAAGAACAAGAAACCCTCAGATCATGGTAGCCCTTCTAAACACAAGAGCAAAATGCCCTGATGTGTGATTACTCAGACACCAGCTCCTTCACCCTTTCACATCTTCCAGCTTCCTCACACTTCAGACCAAGTGCAGAGGGGCAGCTGCTGCCTTCCCAGAAGCCTCACCAGAAGCAGAATGAGCAGTGCGCCAGAGCTTCAGGAAAGGAGGGAGGCCAGGCAGGTGTTCCTCCAGGCTGGGTGCCAGCCAAATGCTTCACCTGCAGGATGGGAAAGCAGCACAGGCCATCTGAGACTACCACAGAGAAAACAAACAAGATTTGTGTTTTGTTCTGAGGTCCAGGGACTTAGATGCTTTTGCTAAAAAGCAGTGACTGTTAACTTGGGCCTATAGATGCCAAATGGGTCACTAAAAGCAGAACAAAGCTTAACTTTCAATTTCTGTCTCCTTTACTACCTTAAGACTTTGGGTCAGATCTTTTCTCAGCTCTGCACATCCTCAAATTAATCATTTAGGGAGTGTCTGTCTAAAAGCTGCCAGTACAAGGTTGAATAGCCCTAAATTTATATAACCTACCTCATCCCCCTTTAACACTGAGGACATAAATAAGCACCCAGAAGTCTACAATCATTGCCCTAAACCTATGCTCACCTTGGATTTCAGCAAAGCCTCTGAAAAACCAAAACTTCCCCAAGCAGACACAATCATCTCATGAAGATTGACTGCCTCCTTAAGTGATAAGGAAGAGTCAGCCATCTTGCAAAACCAGAACTGAAGTAACATTAAAGCTCACCAAACCGGGCTTGGCGGTGCACACCTGTGATCCCAGCACTCAGGAGGCTGAAGCAGAAGAACTGCTGTGAGTTTGAGGCCAGCCCAAAATATATAGAAAGACCCTGTCTCAAAAACAAAAAAAAAAAAAAAAGAAAAAAAGAAAAAAAATGCTCACCTTTGTTGAAGGGCCAGTCTGACCCCTTCAGGGCCGTACCCACTTTAGCTCCTCAAGCTGTGGTCCCTTCCCATTTTCTCTTACTTTCTAACTGCCTAATAAATTTGCCTATGTCCTCCATTGATGCACCCTACAATGCCAGCCTGGGTAACTTAACAATACCTTGTCTCAAAAAGTAGAAAGGCTGGAGTTGTACCTCAGCAGTAGAATGGTGCTGAGTTTAGTCTCCAGTACTGCACAAAGGAGGAGGAGAAGCGAGGTAAGGAGGAGGAAGAGGAGGGGGAGAAGAGAAGGAGGGGAGTGTGTTACTTTCTCATTGCTGAGACAAAATACCAACACCCAACAATGAAAGAAGAAAAGTTTCTTTGGCTCACAGTTTGTAAAGGTTTCAGTCTATAATCGGCTGGATCCAAGGAAGAATGGCATGGCGGGCAGGCATTGCAGAAAACAGTTCATGGGGGGCAGGAGGTAGCAAAGCAAGCAAGCAAGCAAACAAGCAAGGGACAACCACAGCTCTTTTTGTCTCTTGTATCTTATCCAGGCTACTTAGAGTGGGCAGCACTCACACCCTTAGGCTAGTGCCCTTGATCCTAAAGTTGCACTATGAATCAATTCTAGCATCACACAGTCTAGATCCAGCCACCTCTGAAAAAGCCCCACTATGACTGCACGAGGTTTTGAGGGGACATCTAGACACAAGTCATAACAGGAGAAGAAGAAAGGAAAGAAGGAGGAAGGGAGGGAGGGAGAAAAGAAGGGGGAAAGAAGGAAAGCACAGAGAGCAAAATCCTCAACCAGAAAACTTGGAGAAGATCCTCTGCACAACAAGCAGGGAGTCAAAATCCCTCCATGCAAGGGTGAGGTTGATCCGGAAGTAAATGGCACCCCGGAAGAGAGGACAGGGTGTTAGGGAGTATTGTCTTAGTGCTGAGCAAAGTGTACCACACCCCCGAGGAGCACGTGTGGACACAGGTTTTACTGGTTTCTGGGGTGCTGAAGTTTCCTTCTAGAGGTGCTTTCTAGAATTGGTCAAGAAAAGTGCAAAAGGTAGCCAGGTTTTACATTTTTTAAAGGTAGGAAAAGAAATAGGCTCTTCAGAGTGAGTTTTGGTCAAGAAAAAGTATGAAAAAAGGTACATTCCATAGTGTGATAGTGACTGATATGAGAAAAACAGTAGAAAAGAGCTCAGGGTTGACTGTCTTTTTGTGTCACCCACTCTTTAGGCTGACATCAGGTCCAGGCCATCCTAGGGAAAACCTGCTCCACTTCTCATGAGAGGTTCATGTGCAGGGCTTTGGGAACTGTTCTGTGAATATGCCCTGGGATTTTGTAATAATAGGTCGTGCCCACTTCCCCAGCCAGCTCTGCCATGCCCTCAGTCTCCTGTGTCACAGGTATGGTGGGGGGCATGTGCAGGTGTGAGGTATATGTGGAAAGTCAGTCAGCATGCAACTCAGGCTTCTCCCTGAAGCTGAGTCTCATCTTACAGAATTGGTGTGAAATCCACATTCAGCTCTGGATGAGCCACACTTCCTGGCTCCTGCAGCACCCAAAGTCACCCAGACCTTAGAACCCAAGGTCAGCCTGAGCCTGGGGCTCCCTCATAGAGTAAGCACAAACATCCTCTCACATAAACAGCTTTGCAGAAAGGAAAATGAAACAATGCAGACCCACAGGTACAATGAGGCATGCCTATAATCCCAGCACTCTGGGAGGCTGAGGCAGGAGGATCACAAGTTAGGGCTCAGCCTGATCAACATATTGACTTACTGAGACCTTGTCTCCCCGACAAGAAAGCTGGAGATGTAGCTCAGTGTGAAGGCCCTGGGTTCAATCCCCATTACTGCAAAGAAATTTAAAAAAAAAAATACAGGGCAGACCCCAAAGCTGTCTGACCATTGTTTAAGCTGATGACCACATGATGACTTTGCTTTTCCTTCTGTTTTCACTTGTGCACATTTGGTGCACCTCCCACTTGTTTACCCCAAATGTATGGGCAATTTAGTGTCTTAGTGAGACTCTGTCTCAAAATTTAATTTTTTTTAAAGCTGGCGGGGGGAGGGAATAAAATAAAGCCTGGGGATATAGCTCAGTGCGGAAGGCCCTGGATTCAATCCCCTGGACTGGGATTAAAAAAAACAGAAGAGGCACCAAGTGTGGTGGCACACACCTGTATCCCAGCACTCGGGCGGCTGAGGCCAGAGGATCTTTGTGAGTTTGAGACCAGCCTGTGCTACAAAGTGAGTTCAAGACCAGCCTGAACTGCATAGCGAGACCCTGTCTCAAAAAGACAAAAAACAAAAAAACCCAGAAGAGGCAAATGTCAACACTACACATTTAATGAAACACCCCTTTGCTCCCCCTTCTGGTCACTTGGGGGATAGGGGACAGTAGAAGAAGGTGGGGCCAAGGAAAGGGTAGGGAGAGCCCTCTGTGCAGGTGCTGCCCCTCCTCTGCCAGTCACTCCGGTCCCAGAACTTCCCCTTCCTCCCACACAGGACAGGACATTGTTGTTCTGTCTATTCCAAGCGCTCCTCCAGAAGGGCTCCTTGCGGACACTGCTCCCTAGCAATGACAGTCGCCAGACAAGCGAACAGATTACTGATGCTCATAGGCAAAGGAGTTTTTTTTTTTTTTTAATCAACAGCAGAGGAGAGTGGAGTTGTGAACAGCATTTGGGGCTACAATAACAGTGTCTGTGAGTGTGCATGTGTACGCGTGTGCATGCATGTACAAATATCTTCTATCATCTATGTATGCCCATGAGAGTGCATTGGGCCAGAACAGCTGATGATGAGAAACAAGCATTTCTGCATGCAAATAACCATAGCAAAATTGGAAGAGGAACAGGAGGGTAGGAGGGTCTGCCTCTTTCTGCAATCTTGGGTGCCAAAAGTGGGTTTGAGGGCCCTGTCAGATATTAGTTGACAGGAAAACATGTCTGGCAGGGTCAGTTGTCTGCCTGCTCCCTCCATGATTATGCTTTGGTATAATCAGGCACACTCTTCCTTTGAAGCACTTCTTACAGATTTTTATTGATGAATAAAATATATAGTGACATGACTCGGTATGCATATCCTAAGTATACAGCCTGATCACATTACTCATATGTGTGTCCCACGTCACCAGCCTGTAATATAGAGAACATCTGGATTTTCTCCCTACAAGAGGTATGATTCTTATAGCACTGGAGTCCCATGTGCATCTGAGAGAGTTAAGCTGGCCTCTTCTGCTAGACAGGAAGTACTGTGGAAAGGAGGGGTTCTCCTCAGATGCCACTTCACCCTAGTGCTGCATGGATGGTGAATGGACGTGGAGGTCAGTACTGCAGTCACACCACCCCAGTGAAGGAGGCTGGGGCAGGGCCCTGCACCGTGTGCCCGAGTATTCATATTCATTTAGTTTTGCTGGAGGATTTGTTCTTTTGATGCGATACCTGGATCAGGATTTGCTTCAGTTCCTCTCTGTGTTCATCAGAAACCGAGGCATCCACCAACGCATGTGGGCCCTCTCTGGGCCAGCATCACTGGCTGGTGGGGCCATCAAGATGCAGCAGGCCTTGGGGGTGTGGTCAGCACATTCCTCAACCAGAGTGGAAACGACCTAGATTATGTCTCACAGTCACACACATACACACACCACACCCCATTCAGATCTCATTCCACCAAGGCCAGTGGTTTAGATAGGCAGGGTTTATTTCCTCACACTCAGTGCTCTGCAGCAGGCAGCTGCAGACTCTGGGTTAGCAGCTGCACAATGCCCATTGAGGGCCAGTGACTTGGCCACAGCCAGGACTTCATGGAGAGAACTGCCCCCCACCTTTCACTACTGGGACCAATCATGGGGTAGTGACTGGCTCAGACTGGTCATGGCCCTCATGCATCAAGGAGAGGCTGTATGCTGGAGGTGAAAGTGCCTCCACCTACCTCTGAAAAATGTGGGGATTCATTAGTAAGGAAAACAGAGTCCACCATGTCAACATATCAGCACAGCCAGATGACACTGTACCCACATGGCTAGCACTGAGGGTCATCAGGCATGTGACATGCCATCTGGGCAGGTACTGATACCTGTATGCTAAGCTGTGCAATCACAGGCAGGTGGTCAGAAGAACCCTCTCTACAGAGGAAGCCAGTGATGGAGGCAGAACAAGGGCTGGGGCAGTCAGTCAGCCTGCGAAGCCTGAAGGGCAGTGAGGTTCTGTGGGGCCCTGAGAATAGGGGAGGCCACTGAACAGAGTTTGGGTTTTATTCTCAGCATGATGGAACCCAGCCAGACCGATGTCCTTAAGACATCATTTTGTCTACCTGGCAGAAGATGGCTAGTATTGGATCAAAGGTGAAACCAGGAGACAGGAAGTATGTGCATAGGCAAAATGCAGAGCTTGAGAGGGGAAGAGGCCCCAAGGGGCTGACTCAGGGTTGCCTTCCTAGGAGACAGCAGGGCCTCCCTTTCCCCTCCTTGCCCACCTGGAATGGGTGGCTCATTACCTGGTCCAGACAGGATTCTGATAAGAACTTAGAAGGCCAGTTCCCGTGCCTCAGAGAATGCTTCTTCCAAGAAAACCTGCCTGTCCCGGGAGCTCTGCATTGTCACTGGTCTGTGGCCACTATGCTATTTAGCCCTTGCCCCACCCTTACTCCTGCACTTACTGCTCCTGTGTGGATCTGTCCAGACTCCAGGTTGACATGTGCACACACTGACATGGATCACCAGGGTGGGGCAGCAGGAGGCAGGACTCCTGGGCTCAAATTCCAGCACAGCCTCCTCCTGGCTGAATGACCTTTGACAAATCCCTCAATTCTCTGCACCTTAGTTTCTTCACTTGGAACACAGGGTTGCAGCACTGACCTCACAGTTACAGCAAAGAGATGAATTATCACACCTGCAAGTCTCAGCTGGTGTAATTACATTATTAATACAAACTCTATACACCTGTACCCCACCCTTCACAGTGCCCAATCTTGATTTGCCCATGGCCAGGGGTCTTGGGGAATTTCCCATGGACGTGGGCTTCAGGGCTGAGGCTCTGGGCAGTGGCAGCAGTCTGGATAGGGGGTACAGCTGGGCTTGCAGCAGATCTGCAGGCCAGGGTCATCCCCCTGGGCCACCTGACTGGGGCCAAAGATCATGGCTGCATCAAACTGGGCCTTCAGCAGCTGAAGGTGCTTCATCACTCCCAGCACCTCTGGGCTGACCTCAGCCTCACCATCCAGAAGGTTGTAGTTTTCACCAGGGTCCTCAGATAGGTCATAGAGCAGTGGGGGTTCATGAGCAGTCAGGGGGCTGGCAGCATGGCAGGCAGGGTCTGGGGTGGTGTCACTGTGCACGGAGCCTGGAGAGGAGTCAGGTATGTGCCCAGGGCAAGAACAGAGGCCAGGGCTTAGGGCTACTGGGGGCTAGGGTGGGGCAGCCAGGAAGAGGAAATTACCCTGGGTGAAGAAGTGAGCCTTATACTTCCCACTCCGCACAGCAAAGACCCCATGGATGTCGTCTGGGAAGGTCGGGTAAAAGAAGAGAGACTCCCGAGGGCTCTAGGGGTAGAGTCAGGTCATGGGGTGGGAGGGGCCTTGGCTGTCACCCTTTTTGGCCCACCAAGGCACCCCCTGAATGTCATTCATCAAAGGAGATGTGAGACACAGACACTTCAGGCACTGCCACCCTCACCCCAGGAGGACAAGCTGGACTGAGGGGTCACTAGCCCTACCTTTCCTGAGCCCAGCAGCACAGGGCTGAGGTCCACACCATCCAAGGTGACGTTGGGCAAGGGGGCCCCGCTCAGGGCTGCCAGAGTGGGAAGCAGGTCCAGGGAGCTAGCTAGCTCGTTGGTCACACCTGGGGCCAAAGGGCTGCTTGTTACACTGCTTGCCAGCAAGGCTGGAGGCAGGGCCAGGAGGCCTCGAGGAGACTGACCTGGAGTTATGTGGCCTGGCCAGAAGGCCACAGCAGGTTCTCGGACCCCACCCTCGAAGGTCGTCCCTTTCCCACATCTCAGGAGGCCAGAGCAGCCGCCACGGGACATACGCATAGTCTCAGGTCTGGGACATACAAGAAAGTCATCAGCAATAAGGCCCAGGGCCTATGATTCCCTTTGGGTGACCAATACCGCTGCATTTCTGAGGTACTTGCCCTGAAATGGCCAGTACATGCCTGTCCTCTCCAGCTTACCAAGACCAGTACTTCCTTGTACCTGCAGTCCCCTAACTGAGATCTGGAGGTCACTATAGGGACAGACTCTTTTTAGACCCCCTTATTTCATAAGACCATCAGGGGCCTCGCCTGTATCTAAGCAATGAGTATGCCCTGCCTGCTTGGCATACCCATTGTCAGCAGTGAAGATGACCAGCGTCTCTCCAAGCAGCCCCAGGTCTCTCACAGCCATCATCAAGGCCCCCACGGCTGCATCCAGCTCCATCAGGGAGTCCCCAAATGGCCCTCGGCCTGAGCGCCCCACGAAGCTCTGCCCACTGAACTGAGGGTAGTGGGTGTGCTGGGGGCAGAAACAGGAGTCAGCCTTGGTGAGCAGTCAAGGGCAGTGGGGAGGGCAGAACTGTGGGTACTCACGTGGGAGGCGTAGTACAGGAAGAACGGACGACCCTGGCGCTGGGCGTCAGCCATGAGGTCTCGGGCAAAAGCCACATAGCGAGCCTCTAATCCGGGCAGCCAGGGGGGCTGGGACTCTATGGATAGATTGGCCAACAGTGGGATGGGGACCAGGCCCTGGTCACAGGCACCATCACAGAGGGTGGCTGGCGGGAAGCAGGTCAGGTTCTGGCAGGGGCCCTGAGGAGACAGCTCCAGTGAGGGGTTTGGGGTAGTCTGTGGGGTAGCCTGGGGGGACTGATGGCCCTGGTGGCTCATACCTGGTCATGAGAGTACGGGATGCCCAGGAATCGATGGAAGCCCTGATGGGGGGGCAAAAAGGTGCCCCCTGGCCCTACCCCAAGGTGCCACTTGCCAGCCATCCCTGTAAGGTAGCCACGGCCAGCTAGGACCTCAGCCAGGGTCACCTCCTCCAGGGGCAGCCCTCCCTTAGATCTGGGCCCCAGAACTCCAGGGTACATGCCCATCCGCACAGGAAGCCGGCCAGTCAGGAGGGCAGCCCTGTAGGGACAGTTCAGAAGACCATGAATCCAATGGAGACGAGCATGGAGGAAAAGTAGAAAGAGGGAGAAACGGATTCCCCAGAAGAGGCAGGGCCCTCCTCCCACACGGCAGTCCTCAGTGACTCTTCCAGGAAGTGGATGTGGGTGAGGGCTCCTCACTTACCGGGAGGGCGTGCACAGAGACACAGGCACATAGAAGTCTGTGAACCGCAGCCCCCCTGCTGCCAGCTGGTCCAGATTGGGGGTGGTAGAACTGGGGTGTCCGTAGGAGCCCAGGTCCCCATAGCCCAGGTCATCAGCAAAGATCAGCACAATGTTCGGTGGGCTGGTAGAGGCCAGGCCTGCAGCCCAGGCTAGACAGAGCGCCCAGAGTGCCCCCATGGGGCGGAACAGAGAGGCCTGCTTCCAGAGAGCCTTGGGGAGGAGGGTAAGCTGGCTTCGCAAGGCTCTCCCCTTTCCTGAGACCCAGAGCCGAAGTCCCTGACCCTTCCCTCCCCTGAGAACCGGGACCCCGACCTTCCCCTCTCCTGAGACCGCAGACCCTGGCCCTCCCTTCCCGAGACCCCTGCGCCCCAGGACTCTTCTGCGTCCGAGCCGCCTGCCAGGGCGCCAGCGAACCTGAGAGCGCTGAGGCCGCTGTGCCCTCGCCGGAGACCTAAGAGGATCGGGGCGCCGGCAGGTTCCCGCGCGGGGACCTGGCCGCGGTCGCCCCGGTGTCTGCCTCAGTCTCGGGGTCTGGCAGCCACAAGACAGTGGCCCGCGGGCTCGGGTGCAGCGGGACTAGGGCGCTTCAGAGGGGACGAGGGCAGCACGGAGGCGGGCAGCACCCACCGGCCCTTCCGGCTCTGTCCTCGGCCGCAAACGCTCAGCGGAGCGAGACGCGCTGGAGGCGGGGCGCGAGGCCGGGCGGGGCGCGACGGCGGGTGAGCAGAGCCGGGCCCGGCCCAATGTGGAGGCGGGGCCTGCCGGCCAATAAGAGCGATCCGGGGCGGGGCCGGGGCGGGGCCCGGGCAACGTCAGCTCCGCGCCTCTTCCTGCTCTGGACGGCGTCGGCCCGCGGCGGTGTGGAGGTCCGGGGTGCTGGCGGCCGTCGTGCCACGGGTCTGGCAGGAAGTCTTGGCTACGCGCGGACGGTGGCCGTGCACCACGCAGTTGGCGCTCCCTGCGCAGGGCTGGTGTGGGGGCCCCCTTGGGCCCGAGCTCCCTGCGCAGCATGCCCTCCCCGAGCCCGCCCTCCGGTGTTGAGAGACTGGGGGCCTTTAAGAGGCCTGGGCGCCGGGAGTGTTACGGCGCGCCGTGAACGAGCAAAAGGAAGGGAAAGCCGTGTGGTGTCCGACAGCAGATGCTTTTCGTGAAACACGAGATAGCAAAGTGCTCCTGCCTTGCCTAGCTCGCCCAGGGCAGCTCTCTCTAGGGTGGCTGTCCTCCGGGCATCTCCTCTGGCCGCGGGTTCTCCCACAATCGGGGGGGGGGCCCTCTGAGGCCTCTGACCTTGTAGTGGCAAGTAAAACCACGGAAAGAACACCCAGGATTTGGAGGCAGATTTATTTAAGTCCACATGCACTGATCGGCATCATTCCCAAAATACCAGGCCCTGATCTCTGATGGTCTAGGGCTTTTATATGATGCACAAGCAGGAGGTACAAAGCCAAGACAGAACAGCCTAGTAGCTGTGATTAGCTGGTGGGGTGAGATCATTGGTTACAGGGTAGATTAAAGAGCAACAGTTTATGAAGCTTAGTACAAGGGTACAGGGGTACAGTGAGGCATTTTGTATATTTGGTTACACTCTTGTGGTTACAGGGGTCAAGAAAGTAAACAAAGCCGTGAAGGCAGTTTCAAAAGAACAAAGTTTTAAAAAGAACAGTTTCTCTTGTACAGTTTTTCCCTTTCAACCTCAGAATGAGCGAGACTGAAGTACCCAGGAGCGGAGGATTTTCCCTAGTCACTAACCTTCGTGCCAGGCGGAAAGTGGACAGGGCCCTGGGAGGGCCTTGGGACTAGGGTAGGGACCAGGACTCAATACTCACTGAAGCCATCTCTGGCTGGGGAGCTGGCATTTTTAGATGAAAGATTCGAGTCAAGTGGGGGTGGGGAAGAGTTTGAAGGTCAGAGACGCTGGAGAGGAGAAGGGAAAGAACCTGGGCCAAGGCTGTTGCTGACCTCCTGAGGAGCGCTGAGGGTGCAGAGACAGGAATCAGACTGCAGTCCCCTTGCTGTCACGTTCCGGAGTGGTTCTTGGGCCTGTGTGTGGGCGTTGGGTCCTGCTGGTTCTGTTTGGAGCCAGGACCCAAAGCTCTATGGCCCAGAAATCTTTGAACCTGTAATTGGATCTCTCACAGCTGGTTGGTGCTGTGAACCAGTTTAAAAGGAATCCGTGAAAGAAAAGCGTTTTCTTTTTCAATGGCAAACTGGGAACTACCCCAGTACCTGCCCATTATTCTTGGGAGAGCCCTGGGATTGTGAAGTTATGCAAATGGTGGCACTTAACCCGAGTTCTGGAGGCAGCTCAGGTGTGTGCTCGCCTGATGGCTGCCTCGGCCATCCCTGACCTTAGGCCTAGGCAGGAGGGAGGAGCTGAGTGTGCGTGTACTGCCAGCTAGGTACATTCAAAGCCAGGCTCTGCAGGCTATCTTTTATTCTGGAGATGTGAGTTCTTTTTCTGCATTGATAGAGCCCCAATTGGAGGCAGCCTGCTGGGGTTCAGGAAGTGGCTTTGGACGCCTGAAGGATTGCTAATTTGGGACGAACGCCCACAGTAGGAAGAGGGGCTCTGCAGTGAACGCTAAGTCTCTTCTTTCTGCACCTTGGACAAGGGATGGGAGAGGCTTCTGCATAGGGAGGCTGAAGTGGTTGAGCTCCATCAGCGGGAACATTTGCCTTGGTGAAGGAATTCTGCAGCAGCTCCTGGGGCCAGATGACTCCCTCCCACTTTCCTGGGCCTGCTCCACAATGTTGTCGTCAATGTGTAGGTGCTGTGATGGGTGGTGCTGGGCACCACCTTGGATGCACAGGGTGGTTCTTCCACAGGAGGGAGCATTTCAGTTGAAAACTGAAGCCTGAGGCCTGGTGGAGATAATCCCAGCGCTGAAAAGGTGGAGAGGCAAGTCTGTGTGGAGCAGCTGAAAGCACCTCTTTAACAGAGGTCAAGTTTTGTTACAATCCTGAACGCAAAAGGAAGGCTGTGAGAGATCGTTTCAAAGATTTAGTCAGGGAAGGAGCAAGAATCACTGTCAGACTCAGGCACACACCTGTAATCCCAGCATTCTGGGAGGCTGAGGCAGGATTCCAAGTTTGAGGCCAGTCTGAGCAGTTTAGCAATTTAGTGAGCTCCTGTCTTAAGATAGAAAGTAAAAAAAAAAAAGATAGAAAGTAAAGGACTGGGGGCTGGGGACTTAGCTCAGTGGCAAAAGCACCTGCCTGGCAAGTGCAAGGCCGTGAGTTCGGTTCCCGGTACCGGAGAAAAACCCAAAAAAACAAAAAAAAAAACCAAAACAAAATACCTGACACCCAAAATTAAGGAAGGAAAGGTTTACTTAGCTCACAGTTCGTGGAGGTTTCAGTCCATACTCAGCTGGCTCCAAGGCAGAGGGGCACATGGCCGAGGGCAGCCCTTCATGGAAGATAGCAAAAGCAGCAGGAACAAAAAGGGAGGAGTGGCTGCAAGCAGCCTCTTTCCCTCCCTTACATTGTATGCAAACTACCTGCCTCAGGGTGGGTGCAGCACTCACACCCATAATCCCAGCATTGGACCATGGATCAGTCAGATATCTAGAAGCCTGCCCCAAGACTGCATGAGGCTTTGGGGGGACATCCAGACACAAACCATAACGCCATTGTACAGCTAAGGAAAGAACATACTATCTCCCTACCCCTCTTTGCTTGTGTCGAGCAAGGTCTTCACACTTGTCATTTCAGTCACAATGCTAGCAAGCGAGAAAAAACTTCTCACCTTTGAGCATTTGGGTTTTTACCTTTTTGCTATTATGCAGTAATAAGTGTGCTTACATACTACAGTAAAACCTTGGCTTTAGAGCAGAATTTATTCTGGATACATGCATGCAATCCAAAGCACTTGTATGTCAAATAATAAGAAATTACAGAGGGCAGGGATATAGCTCAGCAGCGCAGCACCTGCCTGGTGAGCACAAGGTCCTGAGTTCAATTTCTGGTACCACAAAAAAAAAAAAAAAAAGAAAAGAAATAATGGAAACTCAGATGATTTGTTCCACAACTCAAAAACACTCATACAAAAATGATTACAATAAGGTAATGTAATGCAGAATAATAAAGAAAATACAAAATAGAAAGAAAAATAAACAAATTAACCTGCACATACCTTTGAAAACCTTTGTGGTTGGTGGATGACTTTCACTATCACAAATGGAATCACGGCCCTCTGTTGGCTGCATACAGGTTTAACAAGGAACCTATCCAGTGACACTTGTTTTTGCCTTCTTTTGAGGATTTTGCAGAAATGTGACATTGTATTGTCATGAAACAGATTCATCACTCAGTGCTACAGCCTTATTTGGGCGGTGCTTTCCTGCAGCATTTTGCACTGTTTCCCACATTTCCCTAATCTCACTTGAAATGAGGGATTCTTCTGCCTTTTTCTCCTCCACCTCTGCAGATGAGATCTCCTCCATAACCTCTTGCTGTTGGGAGACCATCACCCCCAACCCTGCAGCAAGAGCAAGAGAGCAAGAGTGAGAGAGAAGCAGAGAGAGAAGAGCCCTTGGCTTGGTTGTAATCGTATGATATTCGGCACCACATACTACTGGTATTGTGAGACATTACTCATTTATCAAATTTAAATTGATTAGAAATATTTGCCCATCTTGGAGAACACTCACAGAACAATTCACTCATCATCCAAAGTTTTATTGTATGGACCGATAATTCTGACAGATTCACAATTATTCTGAGGTCACACATGTGTGAAATGTCCTTGATACTTATTCTGTGAATGCAGATAAAAGAGTACATATAGTAGATTGGATCTCAGGTTCACTAGGATTGATTATAAACAGGAAATTAAATCTGTTTCTGTCTCACATACCACACACATAAACAGACTTCTAAGAGGAGGTGCATAATGTCCAATTCTGTATCAGGGTGTGGCTCAACGTGCAGCTTTCTGTGCCCAAGAGTGGACTGCTGTGGATCCAGGGCAGAATCTGCCAATACCTGTGTTATCTTTTACTGTATTTTCTCGAGGTTAAGGCTCCTTGGCATCAAAAATGAAATCAGAGCAATTTAGAATTTTAAGAGTTTGATGCTATGATACACAACAACAGTTCATGAACCTGAGAGGTCTCATGCTGGAAAATGGCACCAAGTCTCCACGTTCCTGCACTGTGTAGAGCATGCAGGGTGGGATGTCTTATGTTCTTTAAGTCAAACAGAGCAATTTAAACTGCTGTTTAAGTTGGTAGCTGATTGATTTTATTTCATTCATTCATGCTGATAAGGACATTAACGTTTGATTTTCTGCTTTTTTGTACTAGGGATTCAATCCAGGATCTTCTCACCGACCTACATCCCAGCCTTTTTAAAAATTTTTATTTTGAAACAGGGTTAAGTCACCAAGTTTCTCAGGTGTGGCTCAAACTTGCAAACCTCCCGCCTCAGCCTCCAAAAGTTCTTAGATCAGAAGCTTGCACCGCCATGCCTGGCTAACATTTGACTTTTAAAATCACATTTAAAACTTTTCCAGAAAATGTAATTTTGAAAAAAGACCTTTGATGGATTTAAAGATTTACGTCCTAGAGGGAATTACTCCCACCGAGGAGCTTGTGTCTCAAGTTTTCTTTGCTACCATCAATCAAGAGGCTGTTTATGCTGAGAGCATGGCTTGGCCCTACCTTACTAGAAAGTCTCATCATTAAAAGTCATTGTGGAGCTCAACA